TTTTAAAGCAGCTGAAATTCAACTCAGCCTTCATTGCAGCTTTTGGATGAATTTAGGTGTAGGGTTAGGGTTTTTACTTGCTTACATCTTAAACCCTAAGCACCTAAACCCTAAGCCCATGCTCTTGCTCAAGCAATCAACTCTAAGCAGCACTGCTGAAGCCTTTTGCTGTCATGCTGACTCAGATCTCAGCAAATACCAATACTACTACTAATACTAATCCTAATACTTATAACACTAGTAATACTAATACTAATACAAGTACTAATACTAATACTAGTACTAATACTAGGACTAATACAAATACTGATACTAATACTAATACTAATACGAATACGAATACGAATACGAATACGAATACTAATACTAATACTAATACTAATACTAATACTAGTACTAATAATTAGTATTAGTATTAGTATTAGTATTAGTAGTAGTAGTAGTAGTATTAGTATTAATATTATCTTTAGTAGCAGTATTCAAAGGCTTCAGAAGCAAATTGAGTTTCAGCTTGCCTGAAAGTCAGTTAGCTTCTGAAGCCTTTGAATACTGCTACTAAAGATAATATTAATACCAATACTAATACTAATGCGAATACTAAATATAATGTTCATACACTCTTGCTAGTACTAATACTAATACTAATACGAATACTAATAGTAATATTAATATTGATAATAATACTGATACTAATACTAAGACTAATACTAATACTGATACGAATACTAATACGAATAATAATACCAAAACTAATACTAATGCTAATATTATCAGTAATACTGATACTAAGACTGATACTAACACTAATACTAATACTGATACGAATACTAATTCGAATACTAACACGAATACTAATACTAATATTAATATTGATACTAATACTGATACTAATACTAATACTAATTTTAATACTGATATTACTAATACGAATACACTAATACGAATACTAATACTAATACTAATACTAATACTAATACCATGACGATTCAGCTGAGACCCCTAAAACAATTTTAGATTCAGGGTCCATAAATTGTTTGGGGGGGAGGCGGGGGGGGGGGTTCGTACCGACTAAAGCGGGTCCAACATTAACTTCCACGCCTTTCAAGACAAAAGCCATCCCAAGAACCTCCCCCTTTAACCTCGCGCAGGACAAAGCTAGGTCTGAAATGTCCGAGACAGGTCTACAAATCTCAAACTTCGTGTCGGCAAACCCCTTACTCCGAGCACATCAGCCTAAAAGGCCCATTTCCAAATATGCAGTTTAGGGGTTTTGGGTTCTGGAGTTTTCTGCGACCTTGCTTTGAACCTCGGGCCTCGATCCCATCTGCCAGGAAGTGGTTTGTGAGCGTGTGCTGCTCGTCTGATCCGAGGCAGCTCCAACCTCCCGGACCCGGCAAATTGTTGGCAGCTTCAGCTAGCTGATAACCATTAATCCTGGCGGCTGCCAATTTTGGCATTTTACTAAACTATTACTGCTAACTATACTGTCTATATGATGGCCGATAGGCATCACTGTTCGTAGTGTTGGGGCGGAGGAGCTTGCTACATTGTTATATCACACTATTGCTTGAGACGCTCTAGGGTAGGCTGGCGAAAGGGGAGCCGATTGCGTAGAGTAGTATATCAGTCCGCAGGTTAGGCCGAGAAGCTCAGCTTGAGCTGCTGGTAGGCAGACATGTCTTCGATGCCTGTGGTTGCTGAATGTGACCAGAGGATGAAGACCCTCATCTTCTGCTGATTGGAGATGGGCGTGTTTTTGTTGGGGGCAGTGGCTAGGCTACTTCACGGAACCCATGCGATATATTCTCCTCAGCTTCCTATATACAACTAGGCGAAATTCGCTCCGCCTGCATAAGTCTAGCGTTGGCAAATGCAAACTCCTGCACAAGAGCATGGAATTCCGTCTCGCACCACTTACCCACATGAACAAAAACCTCAGAAAGGAAGCGCAACAGTCCTTGCCGAAACTGCGCCTACAAACCCTGGGGAATGCCAGCTCCTAGTTTCAGGATGTTTCAGGTGAATACTGACCTGCTGAATCACATCTCGCACGTTGACCCCACCCGCAGGCTGGCCCAAACGCATTCCAACCCCTTGCTTTGCTTGATGGCAGAGCTGCGCATGAGACACGCGAGCCGGATGAGCACCAAGTCCTGCTCACAAAGGAACTGCAGGTGTAGCTCTCGTACTTTGGTCTCGCGTCACGCCAGTAGCTGAGAGAATGCCCTTGAGATTCCCTTAGCACAAGGCGTCTCTCTTTGTTAGACGACACGTGCCGAAGGCGGAAAATGGCACCTTGCAGGAAGTATCCAACACACACTTCAAACCTCTCAGCGTCCTCGGGGGTCTGCCTCGGTGCCTGCAAAGCGTGGGCCCTGGCGATCAAATAGCCTCAGACGCAGCATCTTTAGCGCAAAAGGTTTGATAGCTGCGACTTCTGTTCCCTAATATTCTGCTGCATCGTCTGGGCACTACATGCTCGTCATGTGCAGGTGCCTAGTTAGCTCTCGATGGCTGTACACTTGTAGCTGCCACAAATTGCCACAAGATCAAACTTCGCCCGGACTTGGACCTACAATTCGCATTTGGCTGATGCAGATGCCCTGATTGTCTTTGATTAAAAGCGCAAAGGCAGCGAAGACACCCCAGTAGATGCCACGCGGGGTAGCTTTCCTGATTCAAGGGTTGTCTAGGCCGTGGCGGCTGGTTTGGCGTTTCAGCATCAAAGCTACGACATGTTGGGACTCATCAGAAGCAGGCTTTTTGCCTGGGACGTCAGTACGTGTTGGGGCAATGCTAATCAACCAACATATCATGTAGCGAAGAAAAAAGTCTGGAAGCGAGCTCGAAAGTTTGACTTGTGGACTGGGCTGCATCCTGAAGCTATAAATTGTAGTGACATTGTAGCGCAGCTGCAGAAGCGCAGCCCCAAGTTGAGCTGCTGGGGACAGCTCTGCCTCTCTTGCATTAGCAATCTCTGCAAATGGCAGAAACACATGCTGCCACCCTGCCTGAAGCCGCTATCAGCCCTATCATTTGACAAGGCTCAACAGGTGCTGCAGCATGCGGATGGCTTCGATGACATTCTCGGCTCGCTTGGCGTTCAGGAATCGAGAACCATGGCCGGCCCCCAATCCACTCCTCAAGTGAGTGAAAGTGTAGGAGCATGGTATCCAACATGTCGCACGATTGATGCAAGGCCATCTTGACTGTATCTCGCTTCATGTAGGCTACATTGAGCAAAGCCATGCTGAGGCACATGAAGCCGAGCAGGAACAGGATGTAGAAACGAAGGGCTTGCTCACCCTCTCTTCGAACCTGCGGCATGCTGAAACCGGTAAGAAGCTGTGCCATCCCATGACTAGATCGTCCAAAAGGTTCCGGAGTTGCAAGGATGAATGCTAAACCATATTCCCCTACAAATTTCCGGTATATCTCCACATTGATCAACAACTGGTAGTTATGGCCTGGGCCTCATGCGGTATTTGGAATCCGCAGCCACTCGGCTCCTTCGCCTCATATTTGATCCTGGAACTTTCTTCGGCAAATCTCATGATGTCCTTCGCCATGTTGGATTATATGTATGGGGCTCTTGCTGCGAAGGAAACTATGGCCTATTTCGTTCAATCCGCAGCCCCTAGCTAGTTCCAAGAGGAACGCTGAACCGAGGTGCAAAGATATTGACGCACCCGGTCTCTTACTCTCTTACGTAAATAAATGCGGCTCACATATCTCTGATATCAGATATTCCTCTTTAACCTTCTTTAGCCATACAATATATGGCTACTGATCAAAACCAC